TCTATGATTGTATCTCTTGGTTTAATCCATTTTGCAGCATATTAATTTTCAATTCAAGTAGGTTAATTCTTCCAATTTGGGTTTATATACATGCGTACATTCAAAATGTATACAGACACCAAAATAAGTGATTTGGGTTTTATTATTATTATTATTGATTAACATCCAGATCTAAGTTAATGAAGCAGTAGGTATTCAGGCTGAAAATTAGGATAATTATTTACTACATAAAGTGGAATGCAAACATTTGAAGGTATTTTTGGTTTCAGAAGTTTCCCTTTGTTTGAAGCATGAAGGTAAGCATCCGGCCAATATTCTTGTAACTTGAATTAGTCAGTAGGTCAGGATGCAGAAAACCCCAAAACACTACTTGCTGGCTTTGTGGTGATGTGGGTTTGGTTTTTTTTTTTCCAGCACAGTGCTGCCCTGGCTCCTACAATTTGATGCTTAAGTATTCTAAAATAATTAATGAGAGGTGTGCTGTAAATTCTAGTCCCGTTTCCTCCTTTTGTTTTAAGTATGACTATAGGTGAAGCTTATAAAATACTGTTTTCCTGAGATTAAAGCTAAACTCTTGAGCATTTATAGATACTCAGTGGGCTTTCCCTTTCTTTCCAGCCATCTGGACCCCTTTGGAACTTGTGTGAATTACCTGGATTCTGCCTTTAGAAATGTGAGAAATCTTGGAATAGTGTCACTGACATCCACAGACATCAGTTCTCTGTATGCAAAGGCTCAGCACGTTGCCCTGCGGCATTATGGATGCAATATTGTCAGGACAGAGTACTACAAGGAGCTGGCAGCCAGAATCATCGTTGCTGCTGTCACAAGGTACTGCTATAAAACAAATTTGCTCAAATCTGGGGAGTAACTTAGTAGGAAAGTGATAGCAATACAAAACTTCAGACTGCTGCTGTAGCTTATACCTGTTCAGTGTCCAGAATTCCTTAAATCTAAAAAAAAAAATCTAAAAGCCAGACTTTTTGATACAAAATTAACTTTTCATAGTTTGTCTGCTGCTGTGGGATAATGTAAATTTTCAACTAAAAGACTGGGCAAGGTGAAAATGCATAAATAGGGCAAGGGTTTGGGATGGTGGGCAGAGTTTTTTGGTGGTAGGGAGGGATGGGAGTGTAAAAAGTAATACCCAGACTTGCCTATCTGCAAACTCTTTGTTCCTCTGTCACTTTTGTGGTCACTTTAGTGCTGCATAGAACTTTGTAAATATTAAATAAACTGCTTGAATGGCTTCTAGCTAAGCATTACAGTTAGACTTGCTTCAATGGAAACTTCACTTCAGATCCTCGTGCTTGAGGTTAAGCAGATGTATGTAATTACTAACTTGTGCAATTAGTCATCTGCATGTAGATATTGTCAGGAAATTCAGTCTGTTAAATAAGTGAAGATATAAAACCTGGTCCCTAATTGGGGTCAAAAAGATCCAGGCAAGAGGATGGGACAACTGAGCAAGAAAGACAGGGAGATGAAATAGTGTGCAGAGGTCTTCTGAACGCCAGAGCAAAAATACTCACCTGAGTATCTTTAGATTTTACTTCTCTGTCTCCCTCTGTATGTGAAGTTGTTCCCTGCAGAATATTCTTAGAGACAGATACACTGCTCAAGCAAAGTTTTAATTGTGTTCTGGGTTACATGCTCCAACTCCCCTAAAGAGCTGTTCCTCCTTCTCAGTGCTTACCTATTCAGGAACTGCTCACATACCTTCTCACAGTCCTTATTTAATTTAATTATCATTTGATGATTTTCCCTCATCTGTGTCCCTCTACATTTCTGCTTTCTCAGATTTTCATGTAGTTTGTTTATATTTTTTGTTACGATAGCCTGGCAATAGGTGGGGATTTGGATAGAAAGATGATGCCAATGGTAGACCAGTATTTCTAGATGTGATAAGAAGTAAACCAAGATTTGCTTAGCCTGATAGGAAGTAGACAAAACTAGGCACTTAAGAAACACCACTTTCTCCTGATCACTTTCTCAGATCTCTTTCTAGGAAGTGGATGAGCTCAAGAATCTTTCAGCAGATTGGGGTGTCCGCTGCAATCTGCCTGCTGATTTCAGTACCAGGTGCTTTTGTGTTTGTTTTTCCTTCCCAGAGCTGCAGCTCGCTGTAACAAAGGCATTGAAGTTTTACTTGCAGTAGCTCTAGAACATTTTGTTCTAGTAGTGGTCAGAGTCTTAAGGGGACCGTCTCCTGCGGATGATTCAGCAAAGAAAATAAGATACCTCATCCATTGCCAGTGGTGTGAAGAGAGGATTTTTCAGAAAGAGGGTAATATGGTAGAAGGTAAATGTTTCTTTGTTGGTTTGTTGGGGTTTTTTCACACTTTCTAGAAGGTCTGATTCCTGTATCTCCATTCTGTGCTTGTTAAGGCCTTGTTTGTATTTACATCCCTTTAATAAAGTAATAATTCCCTCTAATGTAACAATGAGTGTGTTGCATGAGGCTGGAGAGGGTACCATGCTTCATGGTAGTGGGTTAGATGAGTTGTCTGCATGGATTTTGGTGTAAGTATACTGGATTTGTTTCTAGACAGGACATATTCCAACTATCTGTAGCTGCTGAAGCTTCCAGGATCATGGATCTGTCCTTTCAGTGGGACAGTCTTTGCTGCCATTCGGTTCCTCCGTACAGTGGCAGCTTGGTAGATTTTGGTGTCCAGTTGCTTTTCTACTGTTTATTTCAGTTCCCTTAAAATGGAGTGGACTAAAGAGTATGACATTCCCCTCAGATGAGGGGTAAAAGAAGGCAGCATCATATACTGAATGAATATAAAAGGAAAAACCTTGTTTCAAAGTGTCCTGGTTTAGAGGTTAGAGGTTCTTGGTTCTCTAACTCCTAACTGGTGTGGTCCCTTTGAGTGCCCTGCTCAGTGTCAGGTGTGTGAGCATGCAATGAGCTTGTTATTAAAAAGATTTTAAAAAGTTTTAACAAAGTTTTCAGAACAGGAATGAGTCACTGGTAAATAGTGTTATGGTAGAGATCTTAATTAGTAAATGAATTAGAATCATAGAATGGTTTGGGTTGGAAGGGACCTTAAAGCTCATCCAGTTCCAACCCCCCTGCCAGCAGCAGGGACACCTTCCACTAGACCAGGTTGCTCAAAGCCTCATCCAGCCTGGCCTTCAACACTTCCAGGGAGGAGCAGCCACAACTTCCTTGGGCAACCTAATTCTTTACTTAATGCCTTAATTGCAAGTGAACTGACTTACTGCTTAGAAAACTTGTAGGTGGGCTGTGTTTTGTAGATGTAATTGGCTGATGTCTGACAATTCTTTTGTTGATATTTACTGTTAACCTGGACAGCTGCTGACATAAGCGTAGGAAGGCAAATAATGTCCTTGTTACTCAAAATCTGCCAAGAAACATAGGACGTTATGTGGCACTTCTTTTCTTTTTCCCTTCAGTGTTTTCACAATGATTAAAGATGAAATCATCAATCACTAAATTCTCACAAGAACTGCTTGGCAGAAGTGACAACAGTGTCACGCTTCTGCTGTTGCTTGTCTTTCCAAAGACCTCCAGTGTAGTAAGCTATGACTTCGTATTGATGTCATCTCTCTCCAGTAAAGCAGGCATTGCTGGCTAGTTCAAACCAACTGAAATCCTCTTTTTCTGTTGCAGAAAACCCTTACCAGCAGCTGCCTTGTGACTGTCACGGCAGTATGCCTGGGAAGACAGCAGTGGTTCTTGGTCCTCTCTGGTAAGTTCAGAACAGAGTACAGAATTTAGGTTGGAAGGACCTCTGGAGGTCAACTGTTCAGTCATATAATAAAAATGCAAGATATTTTAGCATTCCCAAAGGAGGTACAGCAATCAGGGGGAATTCAGGAAACGTTGAATTGATTTTAATTTAGCAGTGGATTCAGTTTCTGCTTTTTAAGTATCTATTTATATTAACACCAGTTAATAAATAATAACAAACTTGCTTTAAATTTCACATTCGGTGCAATTTACATCATATATCCTGCACAGCTGGCTAGGTGTTCCTCTAGTTGCCAAATGTTCAGCAACTATTACTCTACTTGTGGAGAATTTATTTAGTAAATCTCTACATGTGCTGACAGTAGTACATAATACACTGCTTGATAATTAAGACTTAAAATTTTCTCTCGTGAGAAACAATAATAAATCTCTTTAAAGTCTTTTAACTGTTTCAAAGCAGTGTTATAAACAGTTGGCAATTGACAGTTCCTTTCTTGTGAGGGTTAAATGACTTGCTCAATATATTAGGGCAGAAATAAAATTACCATTCTTGAGATCTTGATTTTTAACATAAGACCAGTGTTAGTGTCATAGAATCATAGAATCATAGAATGGTTTGGATTGGAAGGGACCTTAAAGCTCATCCAGTTCCAACCCCCCTGCCATCAGCAGGGACACCTTCCACTAGACCAGGTTGCTCAAAGCCTCATCCAACCTGGCCTTCAACACTTCCAGGGAGGAGCAGCCACAGCTTCTCTGGGCAACATGGGACACTGCCTGACCACCCTTGCAAGAACGATGTTCTTCCCTTTTTTTTTTTCCTAAACAAAGCAATTCAATATCACTGGGTTAAGAACGCAGTCAGCCTGATGCAGCACCTCGGTGTAACGTAACTGCTGATCCATTTGGGCAAGAGATTTTTAGGGCAACTGTTTTGCTTTCATTCAGAAGTCTTAACTTTTCACTTGCCTTGCCTTGTGTAGGTCAGGAGCTCTCTTTAACACTGGGTTCCTCAGAAGAATGTTCTCTGGGGCTGTCCAGTATGGTCTGGATGAAGCTCAACCACTTTTGAAGACATTAGTTTGCGAAGCAGATTGCACAACTTTACAACATTTTTCTATCCATAGTCCTTATGATGAGAACAAACAAGGTAAGGAAAATGGCAGACTGGTCACAAAACCAACCAGCTTCCTGGTGATTTCGAGAGATGCTGCTCTTTGATAACTTACTCCTCAGCAGTGTAGCCATAACACTGGATGCAGCGTGGGACTTGTCAGTTCTTGTCAGATGGTCTTTGGTGCTGTAAAAAGAGCAGGGTCTGTTGGAGGCAGAGTACTGGATTTAGACATCTTTAATCAGCATGACAGATCCTAAAGCAATAAATGTACTGCAGGCAGGCTGACTGCCATGGAATCCAGCGTGTTCCCTGAAGGAGGTGGAAATACCAACTGTCTGCTAGTTCTCTGGTGTATCTTGATCCTGACCTGAGAGCATATGCTGTTAAGAGAGGACCCCAGCTGTTGCGCTCTGCATAGAATCATAGAATAGATTGGGTTGGAAAAGACCTCCAAGATCATCAAGTCCAACCCATACTGCGCACGGATTGCAGATCAGTGTGCCAAAAGAAATGCCTTTCTGTTGTACTATTAAATTAAATTGTCTTTTTAATATCCCCTCTAAATTCAAATTACTGACTTAGTAAGTAGAAGTTAGCCATATGTATGCTTGTTACTACGCTTCCTTCTTTAGGCCAGAATGGGGTATTATTTCTTTCTGTTCAACTGAAGCATTTTGCCATTTTACTGTCTTAAAGTAGAATTAATTTTGACTTTTTAATTGTATTCTAGAAGAGTCTGGCATATATATTAAAACACCAAATAATTCTGTGGAATCCTACTTGGTACCTGGTAAGTAGATCATTTTAGTGCAGCTCTAGCAGCTTCAAATTAAATTGTAGTTTAAGTGATGGCTAAGCCAACCTGGTATTCATATAAATTTTTTTTGTATTTAACAATACTGGTATTCAGGATTTATTTTCCCTTTAAATACTGATTGTACTTTACCTTCATCCAGAATCATACTCAGTGGTAAAAGCAGAATGCTAAATACTCCATGAAGCCTACTTGGCTTCACTTGTTATTACTGCAAGTGGCAAGTTAATTAAATTCAGGCTAGATTTTAACTCTGCAAAATACTGGCTTATATAAAAGCAGACACAAAGGTGGAGTTGCTGGGTGGCTTGGTTTTTGGTTTGGTTTTTTTTTTTGTGGTATGTACCAACTTTGGCTTCACTGGCTTTTTTTTTTTTTGTGGTCCAGGAAAAAGAAAAAGTGATGAAGTGATTCGAAATGCAGCCAAGCGACAAAAACCTGAGAACAGTGCTGAGCACCCGGCGTTTTATTACAACATCCACAGACACAGTATTAAAGGAATGAACATGCCAAAGTAAGGTTTTCATTTCAGTTCTACTCTTGTGTTACTACAACAACTGATTTATAACTTGTATTGACTCAACCTTATTAGCATTAACTCCTTTAAATGTTTGGGTTTGTTTTGGATGTTTTTGGGTTGTTTTTTTTTTCCCCCCCAGGTTAAATAAGTTCTTAATGTATCTCTCTGAAGCTGGCTACAGGGTAAGTAGAACCCACTTTGATCCCATGGGAGTTCGCACCAACGCGCCCTTGGCACAATTTAAGACTGTTCTCACAAAGTACAGCGCTCCAACCTTCGCCCTGGGGCAGGCAGAAGGCCCTGTCCACCTACCTGAAGATAGCCAAGCAGGAGAGCAGGTTCCAGCTGCTGCAGATGGCAAGGCTGAAGAGGCTGAGTTTCTGGAAGATGATCAATCTGGAGATGCTGCTGCCACGTTCACAAATGACTACCTTACTCACTGCGCAGCTGATTAACGCCAGTCTCTTTGTTCAGAGATCGGGATATCGCGGACTTGCAAGCACAGCCTGTTCCAAGTAAGCCAGTGCTTCCTACCAAACTGGATTTTAAAAATTTGAGTTGCCTGCTATTTTAATTTGATTCATGTTTTAGAATAATGTAGCAGAACTTACCCCTGTGGTAAAGGTACTGTTACTGTGAGAAGGTTTGGAGACAGTTCCTTGCTTTTCTGCTCACCATCCACTTTCACACTGAGGCATCGTGGCTGCTCCCGAGTCTTTGGTAAAGCCTTGCTGCTAGCACAGAACCCAGAAGGGTGGATGGGGCCAAAAGTCTTAAGCATTTCTGAACATGAGGTTAATATGAAACAGAATATTCCTAAAATGAATCGTTCTTAAATCCTGACTGGTTACGATTCAGAGGGAGGTCACGTTAAGATGAAGATGAAACATCACAGGATAAAATGTGATCTGAGTTTAAGCAAGCCCGAAAGGCCTGACTCGGTGTACTTCCAGCTCCAGGTTGCACATGTGATTTGGCATTCACTTCTGTTTTCACAGCTCTGCTTACAAGCAAGGACCTAACACAAGTGAGAACAGGAAGGAATGGTTCAAATCCTGTTCCTGAAACTTCAGTTTATAACCAAACCTTAGCGAACGGCGTTAGCCACCCCAGGTAGTTTGGTCAGGGATTGCATTTGGCTGTGTACTACAAAAAGGTGGAGTGACGAGGCACCACAAGTTGAAGTTCTAGGTGAAGTTTTGCTACAGATTTGTTAGGAATACAACCTTAGCTGTTAAAAAGATCTCTTCTGTGAACGAGCAAAGATGCTGTGTGCTGGTAGTTGGTTCTGGTTTCCTTAAATATATGGCAGCATTCCAGCCAAATAAGCTTCACTTTGTCCTTTCTTTCCCCCAAACTTTTTTCAGGTACTTCCTCCGTATGTTTCACTCGAATTGGGAACAATCCCAGTTGCACTAGTCCTTCTATTTTGTCGCAGGTTCAGCCTGGCCCCTGGTGCCAGGTTTATTTCAGAGCAGAACATGAGGGGTTATTACTCTGATTTATTAATCTCTGAAACTTCACAGTGAAAGAATTGGTTCTGTCTCACTGACTGCCAACCAAGAGTAACACGACTGATACGCTCCTGCTTATGCCAAACTTCCCAAGCTCTTATCAGGCCTCTGAATTAAGTTACTGCCTCTTACACCATCTTAAATTCAAGATTGCTTTGGTAATGAGTTATTTTCATTCTGTCCTAATTAAAAAAAAAAAAAGGAGATCACTAAAGGGATCATAGCTTGCACTTCTGTAGTGATGCAGCAACAAACTAAGTTTCCTTAAAAAATTTAGTGCTTATAGTTCTTTTCCAAAGATAACTTGGGATCAAATTGGAAAGGTAAATGCAAGGAGAAAGAAGAGTTAGTGTTCCCTAGTTGTTCTGAGCTAAATTTTTATTTTTTTAAGCAGAGAGATTGTTGGCTGGCTTTGCTTGCAGATAACACGCCACTGGAGTTTTCATGTAAGTGGGAATTAGAACCAGTCCTAAAGTCAGTTAACTGGAGCAAAAGAGAGTGTTCCAATTACAATAAAGTAGGCTAAAAAGGAAGTTTAACTGAAGTATGTTGTGGGAAGTATTTTAGATTACTTTTGCAGCTCCTCCTCAGTAACAGAGGGTATTATGCATCGTTTCCAAGTCAAAGCAACTATTCCTTGGAGTTTGCAGCTGTGTACAAGGAGGGGCAGAGAAACTGAAGTTCAGGCTTGTCCATACAGGTGGGGCATTTTTCCACTGTCAGGTGAGCAGAAGCAACCAGAATGAGGGACAATTACTGGTGTAGGTGACCAGCAGCAATGAGGGACAATGACTGGTTGTGAGGAACTGCACTGTGGACTTGTCTCAAAGATTGTTTGCACAAGACCACCAGGTATCTTTGAGCCACGGGGTGATAAACTTATCTCAAAGATCGTTTACCACCGGTTTCTGGGAATCCCATTCTGTGAAGGCGCCCTGCCCGCAGGGGGGTTCTTCCCGGACGTGTCCTTGCCCAAGTGCTGGGGGGGCATGAAGAAACGTGCCATTGCTATGAAAACTACAGCCCTCGAAGGGGTATTTAAGGAGGACCAGCACGGGCAAGAGGGCAAGCTGCTGGCGGCAGAGAGACAGGAGAGAGACAGAGGACAACCGCCTGACCGCACCGCACCTCACCACGCTGCATCACCACTGGAACGAGCAACTGAGACCTCCTCGCCCACCCCTCACCGTCGCCTCGCCGCTGGATGGTGACTATTGCAGCCCTATCCCGACTCCTTGCTTGATTTCCCATCTTTCGTTCCATCCTGTCCTATCGCTATTCTCTTTATTACTCTTCTTTTCTAATAAAAGATGTTCTGGCAGTACGGCATGTGACCTCGTTTGTGTCTTAATCTCGCTCTTGTGATCATATCGAAACCTTCCCCGACATCGGATCGGGACATTTAAATGATCCCCGACATCGGATCGGGACACTGGTGTAGGGGACCAGCAGATGGGGTGTTTGTAACCTATGAGAATTCTCTTCCTGTTCAACAGTTGTCTCAGTTGGTCATCAGTTGGGTCAGTCCTGCAATAACAAGTTCACAGAACACCAGTGATGGTTCCAGGCTGTTGTTTGGGGGCTTCTCTTTGTAATTGCTTGATTCTATGAGAAGGTGTAACTGGTACATTGTCCTGGTGCTGTGTGGAGACAGGGCCTGGGGAACCAGCACCAGCCTCAGAACACATCACCACCACAGCTCTGTGCACACAGCAGCATGACCCAAAGCTGTAATCCATGTTGCCAAAGTTGGCTATTGCAGTCGCAGACAAATGAGGATAATGCAGGTGGTGTTGGCAAGGTTACTGCTGATTCTCTTTGAATTCTCAGTGTAGCACCAGGCCTGAGAAGACACTTGGTGGAATACTTCACGGGGCACTCTGTGCCACTGTCATTACTGACAGACCTTCAACATGCAACAAATCTTTGCTGGATCAAGGACTTACTGCAAGTGGCTTGTGCTGAACAGAAAATCAGAACCAAGGATGCGTTAGGGGACTGAAATCAGTGTTGGGGATCAGCAGATCACAGAATCATAGTGGTTGGAAAAGACCTTTAAGATCATTGAGTTCAACCATAAACCCAACACCACCCATTCCACCTCTAACCCATGTCCTGGTTTAGAGGACACCACCTCTAAACCATATACAGACCATGAGGCACCTCATCTGCCTGTCTGTTAAATGCCACCAGGGAAGGTGACTCCACCACCTCCCATGTGCTACAGGACAAACACCAGGGATGATGGAAAATGGAGGTTTAGGATCTGTCTAGTTACCCGTATGGCTAGTACACTCACACCTCTAATGATTTTTAGCTGAGATAAAGTCTGCCTACCCACTGCAGAGAGCAGCTGCCCATGAGCTCTCTGGGTATTGTCTGTTTAGGTGTGATCAGGGGAAGCGTTAACGGAGTTAAAGCTTTTCAAAAAGCAGCTCTGAAAAATCAGAGTCGGCACAGCGAGCAGCAGGAGTGCCAGCAGAAAAGGACCTCCTCCTGCAGTCAGAGAGCTTGAGTTCAGTGCATCTCAAGAAAGCCTACTCTTGGTGTACCCAAGCACTCCCTCTTAACTCCAGGTGCATCCTTCTGGTTAAAAGTTGTAATAACTGTTTGTAGAGATAAAACAAAGGAAAGGGATGGAAATTCAATGGGGTTTTTTTTAATAGTGTACCTCAGCCCCAGAGATTTGTTACAGTCACCCTACACTGCTTTCTGGTGAAGCTGCTTAATACACAATTACATGCAACCAGAGTTGCTGGGTTAAACCTGAGTGCTGTGAAAATCCTTCATCCCATTTCTCAGGCTACAGGATGTGATAACAGCAGCATCTGCCACTGGAAGAGCTGTTATCTCTGTACTTCTCATTCAAACCTTTCCCTCCAGACAGCCTTAAAAACAAACCAAAACCTGTCCAAAGGGTTTCTCTTAGGAATTATAAGAGGAAGCAGCACTGGAGTTTTCAGCAGGTTGGTGATAACATTTTTGTTTTTATTGTCCATTTTAGAATTCAGTGTGACCTTAGTTGGATACTAGAGCTATTAGCCTTACCTGTACCCAACACACGTTGTGTACTTAAAAAGTTACATGGCTTTAAAAGGCAGAAGAGTCACTTTGCAAATAAAATAGTTTATAGCACTAAAGAGTCACAGTGCAATCAATGGTTTAATCAAACAACTACATTTTTTATATATATATATATAATATTTAAAGAACATAAATATTCAGTAAATTCACTACACCATGAAAATAAAAGCTTCACATTCTCCCACGCTTTTTAAAGAACTGGGGACAGAGTGACAGACAGCTCCTAGACAGACTGCTCAGCTTCACAAACACCTCTCTGGCTGCAGGGACTGGACGTTACCTTAGCTATCATGACAGGAAGGGATGCTGCAGCTAATCTAGAAGTTTCCCCATAAATTTTAAAGCATTTATAATCACCACTTCCCACCCCTCCGATTATATTTAGTGGACGTGCATTACTAGTCTATACAAAGCAACATTTCACCAGAAAGTCAGGAATAATGGATTTCCTTAAAAACTCTGTGTTCTGGGGCCTGAAAACTTCCATTTCATCTCACAAAAAAACAAGTCTTCCCAGGAAAGAGAAAATAATTAAGTTACTCAAAGAAGCCTGTGCAGTTTTCACGTTGGGATAAAGCTGATCTGCAACAGCAGACGCAACAGACACGTATTTATTTACAAGTGCTTGAAAGCCAGAAGCGATGGAAGGGCTCTTCCTTCCCAAGAGGATCCCCAAGCATCCAGATATGTACCACATGCCAAAACCAGGCTAACTACAGGCAAGACAAAGACGGAGCGATACCGTTTGTTTAAAGTCTGTTCCTTCTCACCTAGCACAGCAGCTTGTGTTGCTTCCAGCTTCAGGTGTGAACAGGTGAAGGCTTCACCGGCAAGTCTTGCAGCAAAAGGAATCTCAG